TGCTTAAAACCTTGATTGTCAGACCAGTGCTTCTCTTCCAGTCAAGGTCCATTACTGTATAGCATGAAGAATTCACATCCAAGGCTGTCAAGTGATGTTGTGTGATTATAGTTCTCAAGTGTGTTCTTTTACAATCATTTGTTTGCTTTAGCTCTTTATAGACAAAAGCTTTTGTCAGTCTCATCTGACTAAACAAACAACGTCTCCTAGGGTCTTTTGTAGCTCCTGCCAGGCTATTATAACTTATTTACACACTAGCTTAAAATTGAAATTGAACTCTTTAGTGATAGAATTCAGGGCACACTTTGGGGATAATTACCTCCTATGTGTGCATAAACAACAAATTAGAGCAATCAGTTAGATCTTCTGAGTTTGATATAGTTCCATATTATTCTGTGATTTATGACTTGACTTTATAAATGTATCCACTGCACTTACATGTCTAAAGACATAAGATTACCATTGTCCAATACATTGGATTGGAAAATGATTATACTGTACAGTTTGTCTTTCAGAGGTCTTCAGACATCCCAAATCTGACCTTACTTGTGGGAAGGATAATCATTCATGTTGAAGTTTTCCAACCAATTTCTGTTGGTTGCCACCAATATAGGCTAGCTGCCTCTCTCTGCTCTCCTTCCTCGCACCCTTATACCGAAAAAAAAACCACACTCGCAGGCACATGATATCAGACAGATTTTTAGCAACAAAAATCTTTCAGTGGTCAGCTAGTGCATGCACTGTATATCTCTATGCAATTTAACTTTACTTAATGTTGTTAAAGAAATGAATCTAGATACATTTTGATGCAGTGTGGAGCAAAATTTTATTTTAGCTAAATTTACAGTCAAAATACAAAGGATTCGCAGTTCTGTACAAGCAGTCATATGATTTACAGAACTCTGACACAATGCACAGCAAGGCAGATAATGCTATTTTCCTCCATCTTATTCATTGGGCAGTGGATTGGCATCATCACCTGTGTCTAATCCAGGAAACATTAAAGCTGAATTAGAAAATAGTAAAACTGGATCAGAAAGTAGTAATGATCGAGTGTTCTTCTTGTCTGTACAGTGTGGCAGATTATGCAAGACTGCTTTATAGTATAACAAATCTTTTAGCAGTTAAAAGAGTAAACATATATGTATCTTAATGGCTTACCTAGCTGTTTTCTTGTAGGTACTTCATTTTTTTGTGTGACAGCCGAGTGAATAACCGAGCTGAAGTGAAGTGAGCTGAAAGCTGTTCGGCTATTCACTTCAGCCCTGTACAGCTGATTTCAGCCATACATCGGCTAAGATCAGCAACAAGCCGTTCGACTCAGCCGATCCAATATCTGGATCGGCTGAGCCGAACCTCCGGCACTTCACTCGAATGGCAGTGAGTGAATAGCCGAATGCCGCCGACGGCAGTCGGCTCGGTTATTCTACTCGGTACCTCTGAGGTAGCGATCAGAATGAAAAAAAATGTAAACCAAAGAAAAAAAATGATAAACAATTATGTAAAAAATTGTACAAGAAAGAAAAATTAAAAAAGCAGTGTGGGGTCCCCCTCTCAAACCATACCAGACCCTTTGGGTCTAGTAGAAATCTTAGGAGGGATCCCAATTTTTTTTTTTTTAATGCGTATGGTTCCCACCCAAAGTCGTACCAGGCCCTTTAGGTCTGGTAGGAATTTTAAGGAGGAGACCCACCTCCAAAAATGTAGGAAAAAAAACATGGGGTCCCCCCTAAAATTCCTGACCAAACCCTTAATCAGAGCACAGGCCTGGCAGAGCAAGAAAGGGGGGCGAGCGAGTGCCATACCAGGCCACAGACCCTCGGCAATGGGAGGGTGCTTATCCAGGGTCCCCCCTGGAAAAGCACCTTTTCCCCGTGCCTATAGGGACAAGAGCCTGCTCCCCACAAGCCCTGGGGCATTGGTGCTGGGGGTCTGCGGGCAGGGGGCTTATTTGCATTAGGGTACCCCCTTTAATAAAGGGGCACCCAGATGCTGCCCCCCCTTGTGAATGGGTAAGGGGTACTTGTACCCTACTCATTCACTAAAGGGTTAAATACAAATGTAAAGAAAAACACTACAATTAAAAAAGTATTTGAAAAAAAAACACAACAAAGGTTTTTGACAATTCCTTTATTCGTAAAAAAAAAAAAAAAAAAATGAAACAAAGTAATCCACATCAATCACGGCGTCCAGCATTGTAAACGACGACGCAGACTCGATGAAATAAAAAAAAAACTGACGCCTGCCAACCCGTCCGCACCCGCCGAACACACGCCGCAAAATTACCTGTATGACAGGTGCAGGCAAAATTGGCTCGGCTGAGCTGTTCGGCTGCTGTACGGGCTATTGTGAAGCGAAGGGCTCCAGCAGCTGAATTGAGCCGAAGGATTAACCGACGCTTCGGCTTAATCCTTTGGCTCAATAGTGAATAATCCTCATAATTTCCATATAAAAATTAACCTGAATGTTGACCCCTACTGGGCAAAGTAACAGGTTCAAATCACTGTACGAACCTCCCGCTCCAATCCTCCATCGCTGACTGGAGGAACGAACGGGGGAGGGGGCGGATACAGATGGCTCTGCCTCTAGATAGAGCCAGCTGTCAATCACGGCTGCGGCGGTCTCAGTATACCGCAAGCTGCAGCTCGTGGTATACTGAGCTTTGGGTCACGGTAGGACGCTAGTTTATGTCCTCTTGTGACCCTGAGGAGAACTATGGGGAAAAACACTTACCCCATAGTTCTCCTTTAAGGAGTATGTACCTTTCTTGCACTCCCCCACAGCCTTTATTCACAGCACACCATGCACCTGCTGCCATATGACAGCGGTTGGGCCTGGCCACTAAGGCACTAGTAGGAATGTCATATATTTCCTGGAAGTAGTGGGTATTTTCCCTGTATCCAGCAGTCGATTTGGGGTGTAGGCTCATGGGAAAGGAGAGTTAGCACCTCTTAGGGATTACTTTTCCTTTTGTGACACAGTTGACATGGGAGAACTGCATAAAAAGCAAGACAATCCTAGCAAATCCGGAACAGTTGTCAAATATGAACTTATAGTGCATAGGTAATCTTTGAGGGCCCTCCTTACCATCTTGTCTTGAATTGTATTGTGATTGTAACGTCTTCCTTATATTGTAAAGCGCTGCACAAACTGTTGGCGCTATATAAATCCTGTATAATAATAATAATGGTTAAAAAAGCCTGTATACACATAGTAAAATTTTGAAAATTGACCAAAAACCACTATAGTTTCCTTCAGTTAATATCGTAAATGATCAGGCTTGATCGTTATTTTGTTTGACTTTATCTAAAAGGAATTGTTTGTAGTAGAGAAGGAGCAAAGTGTAGAGAAAAGGGGCTGGTTGAAAAAGAAGCAAGGATAGTTCATTCTATGTCTTAAAGAAATACGGCATGTTTCGCATGCCAGTCCAATAGTTTATGTGCTACATAGGACCCTAAGGCGTTATAATTGACTTCACAGAGAGTATTAGTTTATTGAAACCAAACCTGGAATGATGGCTCTATCAATCTTCCAGAAAGGTAATTCTACCGCAGACCTCACACAGAACAAGATGTTAGGCTCCTGCTGTGTTGGAATGGCATGACACACACAAAATAAAGAATAGCGGAGTTCAGTTTTGACAATTTATGGAAGCCCATTCCACATCTCTCATTTATAAAGATTTTTTTTCTATCAGCCCGCAACATTCATTAATAATTCCACTTGACATGTCAATAGAAAGCGTTGCATTGTGCCAAGAACTGAGGTATCTCTTCCAATTATGTTTTCTTTTCAGTGCATGAATTTTACTACTGAGGGGGTAGTTCGGGCATTTTAGCTATTTTCTTATACATATTCTATGAAATAAATTCACCCTGTGTTCTATGAAATCACAATAAATTACGTGGCATAAAAGGAATCTCCAGCAGTCTGGAGCACAGAAGTGTGGTTTCTGTTGGGTCCCTTATTGCTAGATGAACGTTTGTAAATGTATTGTTTGGTGAGTTGAGGTGTGGTTGAAAGTGCATGTGTTATCTAACTGCCGACGGTCTCCATGATTTCACAGCAATGCTACTCAGCTGGTGTTGTAAATATCTAGAGAGAACAGAAATCAGAATAGGATTTCTAACCTGTTCATAACACTGCCCACAAGAAACAATCAGGCTCCTACTTGTTTCCATGAATGAGATGTTAGCCTGAATCGATCAAAAATGTCGGACCAGTTTCATGTCTGTGGGCCACTTTAGCAACACTGACAGATTCCTTATAGTTAGAAAACCATGCTTTTTAGGAAAAGAAAAAAAAAAGTATGGTGGCATGCCAAAAATTTAATCAAAGGCTACATTTTAAATTGATATTGTTCCAGTTATCCTGTATAAGACATACAAACAGGTTGATTTGCGCATTGTAAATAGGTATTTAGTTCCAAATCCCTTTCTCCTGGTAAACGGTTATATTCAAATATTATAGTGTTATTATTATATTTTGTCCCATATCCCAGGTGTTCAGCATAAACTACATTTATTAATAATGAATTAACTATGTAGTTAAAAAATCAATGTAATCAATTTGTATGGCACAATAAAAGGACAAATATGGTAAGCATTCTGCTCAACTACACATCATTTTCCAGAAGAGTTTATCAGACCGAATAAACTACAAGGGGCACAGGCGGAACCCCTGTTGAGAAAATTCTACTGTAGGAATTTCAAGACTAGGATCAAACATTCTAATCAAAAGCATGCATATTTTCCCCACCTGAATATTGGTTTTTCTCCTGCTTTTTGATGTTACAGTTTGAAAGCCTAATATGCATCCCGCGAAATACAAAAAAAAAAATACATATCATATTTAAAGCACAAATTACAGGAAAACGCATTGGACTACAATAGCCATATACTATGCCTTATGTATTGGAGCCTGTAGTTGTCTGCAATTTGTTTTAATTTCTAAGCCAAGAAAAAGTACATTGTAACAATTTTCTAAATGTTCATTTGCAGATATTCTCGGTTACAAACAATACAGAATGTGCAAAGATCCTAGAAGAAATCCGGTGTGCTTACTGTTCACCACATGCTCAGAACCTCTTCCAACAACCAGAAAAAGTTGACACATTTGACAGACAACTGGTTCTACCCACCTTGTGCAAGGACTACTGTAAGGAGTTCTATTACACATGTCGAGGACAGATACCAGGTAAGAGCATTCTCTTGTTGAAAGTCAGGTGGAACTACATGTTATTGAGTAGTCTACCCCATGAGCTTCTTTCAAATTGTCTTTATTAACAAGAATGTGGCAATACATGTGCATAAATTGGAATGATACACTGGCTCCTTACAAAGGTACCAACACATAAGACATGTATAAAATGTATATATACATACTATATATATATATATATATATATATATATACATTCTGCA